TGGGACCTGCAAGAGGCAACCACACATTGATGTTTCTCTCCCTCTTTTTCCTTCCCTTCCCCTCTGTGTAAAAATAAATAAATAAAATCTTTAAAAAATAATAATTTCATGAAGCATGTTCATTGGAAATATCTTTTATTGTAGCAAATACTTTTTTTTTTCTATTTCACTCAAAAAACTTTTAAACTATACTTTGGCAGACATGTAGCCATGCTGGAAAAACATGAGTAGGATCATTTCCATTTTCTCTGTACAGATTTGTGTACAAGAGCACCTTGTGTTGACCTTTTCAAGTTCTAAAATTACAGAAATTTTAATTGAATAGTTTGTTCTATTACAAAATCAAAATTATAGATATGATGGTCACCAGAAATTCCATTGAGAAAGAGCCAGTATCTTCATATTACTTACAAATTGGACATACAGGACAGAAATAAGACCCTGACAGCACCTGAATATGAGCTGAGCGGTTCCATGGAAGAAAAAAGGAAGAGTTTATTCTGTTGCTTTGTACAGTTGAAGGAGAAACCATAAGGGAAAGGCCGCAAGAAGGCTTAATTAATTAAATGCTTAGGTTCAGGTAGGATTTTGGTTTTTGTTTTGTTATGCTTTTTTGTTTTGAGGGGTGTTTGGCTTGGTTTGGTAGAAGCCTGCTGGACTTTGTGGGAACTTAGTTAAGAGAACATAGGCCTGTTGAATATGGAGAAGCATTAAGAGTTTGAGCCACCCACCTGAGGACAGAGAGTGAACCTAGAGGAACCCACGCTTAGAGTCGGTTTGCCCTCACTTGAAGTTCTCTAGCTTCAGAAAACCTCAGGGTTCACAAAGGTCGCAGAGCCGACACTTAAGTCTTACAAGGCTGGACAGTGAAATTTGAAATAAACTCACTGAGCTTTACATAGACAGGAGTTTTAACTCACATGGGAGGGCTACATATAATAATATACAATAGTAAACTGATGGCAAAATATATGTAATTTCAGACTGTCAATCATCTTACCCACAAGAACATTAAAAAGTAAAGATATTTAAGTATTCAAATAAGGTAAAAATAGAGCATTCAATGTTGTGTTTTTAATTCTGTACAATATATGTTTGTTCTGTATTATCTGTGCATTTATTCTTTTTGATAATAGAGCTTAATGAGAAAGATAAATTAACCACAGTGGTGATGACTTGTCTATTTATTCTTATAGTTCTATCAATTTTTGCTTAAATATTTTGAGGCAACATTTGGTTCATCCCAGTTTGTAATTATTATATCTTTCTGTGACTTGAATATTTTGTTATTATTCGGTGATGCTTTATCTCTAGAAATGCTTTTTTCCTCTCAAATTCCATTTAGTCTAATATTAATATATTGATACAGCTCCTTTTAGATAAAAATTTCTTATTTACATTCTTTGATCATTTAACTTTCCACCTTATATTTTATATCATATTTGGTGTGTACTCTAATAACCTTTACCTTTTAACTTAAATATTTTGCCATTTACATTAATTGTAATTACTTACCTATTTCAATTTATTACTGCTATCTGTATTAGTTTGCTAGAGATGCCATAACACAATACCATAGTCTGTATGGCTTGAATAACAGAAATCTATTTTCTCACAGTTCTCAAGGCTAGAAGTCCAAGAGAGATCAAGACGTGAGCAGATCTGTTTTATGCTCCCTGGCTTGCAGATGGCTCCTTTACCTTGTGTCTTCACATCATCCTTCTCTTCACACAAATCCCTGATGCCTCTCTGGGCCTCAGGAAATTTTCTCTTCTTATCAAGTCTGATTGGATTAGGGCCTAGCCTAATTGGTTCATTTAAACTGAGTTAAGTCTTTAAAGGCCCTATGTCACAGATAGTGGTGGTCAGAGTTTCAACATGTGGATTCTGAAAGAATATAATTCAGCCCATACCACTACCATTACTTTTGTATATTTTATTTGTCCTTCCTTGCCCGATATTTTCTTCTTTCTTTTTACCTTCTGTTTCACTGACTGATCACTATTTTTCATTTTATCTTTTCTCAAATAATATAAAAGTTATAAAAATAGTTTTATATTTATCGATGGTGATTCTAGATATATACATGCACATTTATCAAATTCTAAAGTTATTTAATATATTGATAGCTGCTACTATTCTAGACAACAAAATCCAAAGACATTCCAACATTTCAATTTTGATCACCACTTCCAAATGTATATTTCTTTAAAAATTTTTAGACACATTCTTCTTGTGTTATTGTAGAAGACTTGCTGAAAGATTTATTTATTTATCTTTAGAGAAGGGAAGAAGAGAAAAACATCAATTATTCCTTTGGCCAGCCAGGCACTGCTGTTATTATTTTAAATCATCAAATATTTTAGTACTACTTTCTTTGCTTACCATTCTATTCTTTATCTTTGACTTTCTATCTGGAGTCATTTTCTTTTGCCTTAAGTACATCCTGAAGAATTTCTTTGAGCAAGAGTCTGGTGTTAGCCGAGTCCCTTCTATTTTTGATCTAAAATTTTTAATATGTTGCTTACTAGAAATACTTTCTCTGGATGTATACTTTCTCTGGATGTATAATTCTGAAATAATTCTTCTTTCCTGAAAACACTGAAGAGATTTTTTTAATTGTTTTTTTTCTCAGCTCTTTGTTGAGGAAATAAATCCTGTTAATCTCCCTACTTAAAAGGCTGGATCTTATCTCCTATAACCCCCCACCCCCAACACCCACCCCAACACCCATCTGACAAGGTAATAAAATCCTTCAGTAAATTCCCCAGGGTCTGGAAAGTGCCTGCGGGACAAAGATGACCTTAGGGCTCTCCTTTCCTCTCTGGATTCCTGCTTTCACTTAGTTTTTGGCCTCTGAATATTTCTCATTTTCTTGCCAGAGCATAAATGCATGTTACCAGTTGCCTTTAGATTATATCCAGAATTTTTATTTGTTTTCAGTAGGAAGGTCAGTCGTAATATCTGGTGCACCAATCTGCTGGAAAAATAAGGCAGAAAAATAAGGCCTCATTTTTCATCTGAAAAGAGGTAGAGATAAAGAGAGACAAAAGAGACAAAAACATAGGAGGGTTTTTTTCTTTGTCTGTTAATTGAGTTCCATTTAAAAGTTGAGGCTTATTTTGGACCTTTTTTCCCCTCTCTTTGTCCTTTCATGACTTGCCTAACATCAGAAGTCTTGATGGAATAAGGATTTCAAGCACTTTCAGGACTGTGTATGAATTTTTCAGTTATAGCTCATGGCCTTACATAAACAGGGACAGCCATACTGGCTTCTGCTTTAATAGTATAAGAATCTCACAAAGTCTTTTTGAGTTACTATCCATTTAGGATTTGTGCTATAGAAGCTAAAAAGCAAGTGGGTAAAAGCAAGGAGAAATCTATATAAATTTAACTTGGAGTGATGTGGAGGAAATGAGGACTAAGGATTGAGTCTATATAAGATTGAGCACAACAATAACAATGAATGCCAGTTCTTCCAGCCACATCTTTCAGAAATATCCCTAACCCATCACAACACTTCCTCTGCCTTCTCGGCACAGTATTCTCAGTACTTAATGCCATACCACCGGAGGGGGCGGGAAGATGATGCTGATCAGCAAAGTAACAACTTCATTGTAAACTGTGTTTCTGTTCTTCAGTTTTTCAATTAGGATATTGTTAGTAATACGTTTTCTCAGGTCAATAGAAAAGATAATTTTTTAAGTTTTCTAACTTCACCCTTTTGGACACTCTGCTATCTAAGGTAAACTGTATTAGTGCTTCCTCTAATTGACTTCACAAAGACCCAAAAAGTACCATCCAGTAATTGTTAGAGAGGTAAAGGGAGATTTGCTTACAGGTTCTTCCAAATGAGAACTTGTCAGGGAACTCTACACTTTGACCTAGATTTGGAAATAAATGTATTAAAAGCTCTTCCAATTTTTTTCTCCTAGAACTTCAGATCAACGTCTATTAGCTTGTTCAGGGGAAAAAAACTATCCATTTGTGCTACATTGTTTCCACTTCAGTGCCTCACTGTCCGCTGTTCCCTTTGCCCGACAGGCTCCTATGCTAGATCGCTACATGGCTTATTTGCTCTCGTTTTTCAAGTCTTGGCTTAAGTGTGACGAACTCAAAGTCTCTTCTGATTACCAAAAGTAGCCTTCACCACTAACAACTCATTCTCTATCAACTGCCTTTCACATTTGCTTTATGGCATTTTTTACCCACCGGGAGTATTTTTTCATGCCTATTGCCTATCTTCCAGCACCAGAACATGAATTTTGCAAGTTCAGATCTTTAATGTCTTGTTTATCCCTGAATTCTTGGTACCTATAATAATGCCTAACATGCTCAAAGATATCTATGAAAGAATTAATGGGATGTAAGTACACATGAATGGGAGATATGTACTTACTGTATAACTTTGAACTATGGAGTTAATTTTATAAAGTTATTTTTTAATTTGTGAGGAGATTTTTGATCCTTATGGTACCAAGAAGAAGAGATATAATTTACATTTTTATAACAAAATACATAGGAGTTCAGATGAAAGAAGATTGTGAGGATTAGAAAAATAAACACATGACCCTGGATTTTAATCTGAGCTTTTTCATTTACTAACCATGAAACCTTGAGTGAGGTACCCAATCTCTCTATTCCTCTGATTTTTTTAATATCTAAAGGTGATGACAAAAAGAAGATAATAGGATTGAGGGGAAAATAAATAAATTGTGTATTACAAACATTTCAAATAATGTCTATATTTAGGAAGACCTCTAAGGGTTACCATTTATATTGTTATATAAAATACTATAAATGCACACTTTTTTCATGCTCAGTTAACTTGTCACAAATCTTTATCTGTCATAGGATCATTGTAAGGTAAAATATAAAGCATTTAAAATAGTATCTGGCTCAGGTAACGCTGATAACTGTAGCTTTTATTATCAAGCACAATTTACTCAAATGACTAATATTCACTTACTTTCTCCATTCTCTGTTTTTTCTGTTACCAGTCTGTGATCTTCATTCGAGACAGGAATTCTCATGGGCAGCAGGTGTCAGCATACATTGACTACGCCCACAGGCTAAAGACGGAAGATTTTGAAGCCTACTTTAATGGGAAAAAAAGACTTCTTCCAAGACCCACAGATCTGAGGTAAGTTGTGCTTATTTCTCACACCTTTGGTAGGAGAACAAGCTCCTCAGAAGCAGAAATAGAGGACTTTTATCTCATATTCTACATTGTGCCCAGAGCATTAATGTGTGTACAGTAGGAAAATGATAAGAGTGGTTTGAATAAAAGATAAATTTTAAAATAGAGAATGAGCATAAATGCATTTTCCCATTAACAGCCTGAGAAAGAGGACTCTTCAGAGATGAGGTAACTAAATTCCCAGTGACATTCCTTTTAAAGGATAAGAAGAGCCCCAAAATTGCTAACCTCATAAGGATTTTGCACCACCTGGAACTTGGTTTGTCTAGAAGCCACAAGAGCCGTCCATCTAACACACTCTGTTCCCACTGTTCTTTGGCCGCCAACCAAAATACAACTCTCTGACTGGCTCACTCTCATTTACTCTCATCACAGGCTTATTCTGGGATTCCTTCTACCCATCATTCTTTTTACTATGACCTTAATGTTTTCCTCTGGAGCTATGAGGTCTTCACATGGGGACGCCTCTAGTCACAGATCCCATCCCTCTGCTTTATTTTGAAAAGCTCTCAAGCTTAACATCTTATTCTATTATCTCTCAACTGACCGCAGAACACAAAAGCAGAAGCAGCATTCTGCTTGGACTCTTTACTATCATATCCAGCTCATTAGTTGACACTTGCAACAATACTCTATTCCTGACACCCCTGCCATCTTCTATCCATATTCACTGCTATTATCCAAAGACTTCCTACCCCATCACTGCTTTCATGGACTTATCTTTATCCTATGTAACCCAGATGCATGGTGTAGGATTTAACTTCTCTTTTAACAGTAATCCCACTGCCCCTGTCTTTTTACCTTTGTTTCTACCTGTCCTGCTAACCCCTCAAGGTAAATGTCTCTTGCCTGTACCTGTAGCCAGACCTCTGAATACTGCAAAAGGAAATTAAAGGAAATTTCACATGGGTGTGGGTGGTTGCTACTAATAATTTATGGTCTCCAAACATCAGCCACCAATTTGTGGGCTTTTTCTTAACTTTTAATTTCACTAACCTCCCTCAAAATACAGTACCTGTCTTTGAACTCTTGCCTTACTTATTTCATACACGTTGGTATTGGCCAGAGTTCATCCTTGGACTTCTTTTCTTACCATACACATTCCTTGGGTGTTTCACACACTTCTCTGGAGTGGAGTAGTTTTCACACTGCAACCTGAGCATAGATTGCTCTCTTTTATTTCAGACTCAATTATCCCACTGCTTACTTCAGAGAATCTCTTAGCACCTTGTGAGCACTATCAATAGAACTTATTTCCAAAATTAAATTTAGCTTTAATCTCTGAAGCTTTACTGTGCCTTTTGTATCCGCTCCCTTGGCAAATTGCACTGCCCCTGCAACCCAAGGCAAAATCCAGATGTTCATCTAGACCTCTTCCCCTTCGTTACCACCCATGTAGCTAATAATTTACTAAAAGTATTAGATTCTGACCTTCACAGCTTATTTATATTAAAGCAAATATGAGCTATGCCATTCAGTTGTTAATACTGAAGCATGAATGTTTAATAATTTTTTTAAAGAAAACATGATGACATTATTATACCTAACAAAGTAACTCCTTAACATTTGAATACCTAGTTAGTCCTCATTTTTCTTTCACTGATTGTCTTCAAGTTATCTTTTCAAAGTTGGTTTGACCAAAGCAAAATCCAAACAGTATTGTTTTCTTATTCTATCTTTTGTGACTCCTTTAGTTCATAAAGCCCCCCTTCTTCTTATCTTTTTTATGCTATAGATTTGTTGGAGAAACCAGTTCATCTGTCTTAAGAGATGTCTAATATTCCAAATACAACTGACCCCTACCATACTGCTTTTGTTATACCTTACCTCTATCCTTCCATTTCCTGCCAACTGGCTTGATGAAATTCAATGTTCATTTTTTTTGTAGGTAAAAATTTTTAATATATGAAGCTCCGTGAGCTTCATCAGTGGGTTTAGACAGTGTCTAGCTGATCACTCCATTATAAAGTTTCCCCATCAACTTACACCCTGTGATTTTAGCACAAAATAATGGAGGCTACCTAAATATCTTCACTAAGGGTTACATAATGTTGATTTTCTATTATCCATTCTGCATTTTTAGCTATACTTCTTCCAAAATGAATAACTCTTTATCACTTATTTGGTTATCCTAAAATAGAATTCAACTCATGTAGAAAGACAAAGATTTGATTTTTTTCCTTAATTTATGAATTAAGTGCAAAGCCAAAAACACAAGACTATGCAGATAATGTCAAATTGTTTTCAAAGTGCTATACTGATTTATACCCACAAGAAGTTTACATAAGTGCTTGGGTTAACCTTTATTCTCACCAACACATGCTAGTAACAATCATTTTGCTCTGTCGTAAGTTACAAATATCTCTTATTGTGGCTTTAATTTTCATGTCCATGATTACTGATCACATTGGGCATCTTTTACTGGTTGTTCAGATTTTCTTTCTGTGTAGTGTCCATTAAGATTTTCCTCATTTTGCTATTAGTTTATATTTTTCTGCCTAGTTTTTATTTTTCTGTCTTTTTTATTCTTTTTATTTTTATATTTTGGATATTGATTAATCTTTTGCCTATCACATGCCTCACAAAGTATCATCTTTCAATGTGTAAATTTCCTTTCACTTCCTTTACATGGACTTCTGGTAGTCAGAAGTCAGAAGTTTTGGTAGATTAATGCATTTCATTCATCTTTGCCTCTGAGGTTTGCATTTATTTCTGTGTCTTTTGTTTAATAAATCCCTACCTTTCTGGAGGAAAATTGCTTTTTATGTCATATCTTTAAACTACCTCAATTTCATATTGTATATGGTGGTTATGGTAATGGTCCATTTTTTTATGGTTTTCCATTTCACTAATACTGTGTCTTGGCAAAACTTATTGAAAGGCACACTGTCTCCTTCCAGACGCCTGCAACACCATTTGTGTCAGAACTTCATTCTGTGTGTGCTGGTTTGCTTCTGGCTTCGCTCTTTTGTTGTATTAATTCCTCTCAGAAACAACAGAATCTTGCTCATTTGTTATGTTATCATAATAATTCTTGATACAAAGAAAAGACAACTTTTTTAAACTTTTTTTAGCTTTTTTTCTTCTTCAGGAGTATCTATGCTATGTTTGTCCTTTACTCTTTTATGTAAATTTTAGAGTCAGTCATAACATTCACATACAAAATGTAATTTTGATTGGAATTTCTTTCGAGTTGTGACCAATGTATAATTAATTGACATCTTTATAATATTGTCTTCCATTCATTTATGTGTATTTATTTATGTCTTCTTAAATGTCTTAATAATATTTTATTATTTTTTCCATTAGAGAGTTTTATTATTTTGTGTTTTTTTCTCCTCGGTGCCAGATAATACATGACTTTTTAAACAAAATTCATTCTATTCCAATGATCCCACTAGATAGTTTTTTACCAAGTGAGTTTAATTTAAGTGAACTAACAGAATTAAACTTCAGATTTTTTTTCACACAAGAGATTTCATGCCAGTAAAGGACTTAAATGGTTGTTGCTAAGGGACAAATATCTTTGATATATGTAGTTCCATACTTGATTCAATTGGGATAAAAAAAACCTTCAAAGATTTCACAAAGCCTCTGTCTATTTGCTTACCTTTTTTACATGCTATTTTCTCCTGTGTAGGAAGGGACATTAGTTCTGTGATTAGGATCCTGTCTTGCATTTTTACTTGAAAAATAGAAATATCAACAGACAGTCGCCACTATTAAGGAATGCATGGGAAGAGAGGGCTCTGAGCACTCGATCATCCTGTCAGTTCAGACTCCATTTGGACCCTGTTCAAGATTCAGTACCTTCCCCTCAGTGTACTTGTACATAACTCATAATAGCATGTTCCAATTTACCAAGCTCCTTTACACTTCTCTATAACAACTTCATGAAATAAAGTCCAACAATCATTATTCCTATTGTCTGAGAGAGGAGAAAATAGAGTAAAGCTCTTGCTAAAAGCTCACGAGCTAAATGATGAATATCAACTAGTTCTTAGAAATTATAATTCACTACTCACCTATTTTGGATAAAAGCTTTTGTATCCTGAGAAAGATTATACTTTATAGAATCCTTGAGTTATATTCTACCCCCCATTTAGGCACTTAAATTTCTATATTTATATATTTTTGAACAAGTATTTAAATCTTCCTGTAGAGCTGTCTTGGTTACCCAAATAGGATGATCAGGAGGAAGTAAAAAAGTTCCCTTTTTGTTTCTGCTGAGGAAGTCCATGAAATATTCATACCCTGGACCAAATAATGCCCCTTAATCCTAAAGCTTTGAGAAGTATTATTGTCAAATTTCCCTCTCAGTCATATTGTCTGTTTTATTAAAATGTTTAACATGCCAAACCTATGAGGCTAGAATTATAAAGTTGTGCTTATCCTGTATCCTGTGCTTGAGTGCACTCTTCGTGAAAGCATCTGGTAACATGGGCAGATTCCCATGAGTTTTTTTAAAGGAGTAAATAAAGTTAGTTTTTCTGCAACTGGTATAGAAAATATTGCTTATTTTAAAGTTATTATTATCATTCCATGTCTAAATATGATGACTGATGAACCATTAGAATATCAAGTTAGTCTCTTCAACAGATATTTGCTGAATCTGAAAGAGGAGGGAAGCTTTGGGTGAAAGGATGCTGACCATCTAGCTCTTTGATAGTCAAAGTGTGGTTCGTCTACCAGTAGCACTTATACCACTTGAAATCCTGAAAGAAATGAAGCATATCAGGCTCTATCCCAACCAGTGAATCACAGTTGGCATTTATAACAGGATCCCCAAGATTTCAATATGCATATTGAAATATTAAAGTTTGAGAAGCTCACTTTAGATCTGAACTGCCCAGTAGGAGAGGCCCTAGCCACATATAGCTATTGAGCACTTTGAATGTGACTAATCCTGAATTAAGGTGTGCTGTAAGTGTAAAATATAATAT